GAAGAGTAGAGCTGGGTCGCCTTCATCACCTCTGAGTTACAGCATCGAAGGTGGACGATGACGATGAAGTAATTAATTCAGTTTGTATACACTGGATTATTCCCAGCTTTATTACAATAATATTTTTCAATATTACATTACAGTCATTTAGCAGTCGCTTTTATCCAAAGCGACTTACAATTCAGATTCTATCACACTGTAGGCACAGCTACAGGAGAAATTTTGGGGTTAAGTGTCTTGCTCAAGGACACATCAACATGCGACAAGCAGGAGCCGGGGTTCGAACCGCCGACCCTCTGATTGAAGGACGGCCTTGCTCTCCACAGTCGCCCGATAATCAATATCTAGTGTATATATCCAAGAGGAAACTCTCTGCCATAAAAGCACACCCTGGATGTGTAAGGTTGGGCTCTGTCTTCAGCTGGAGAGGAACTGCTACAGGGACTACCCCTGCTGCTAAAAATTGCCTAGACATGGACAAATATAACAGCCTGTAGCATGGACACTGAAAGCTCTACATATTCTCAAAACTGTTTGACAATATGTAAAATAGGTTGAATTTCATTTATTTCATTAATTGTTTATAAAGAGAAACTGATGAAAATTCAAATCCGTTTATTTACTTTTTTGTTATTACACACTTGTTTTAAGCATTTATAACATATAATAATGACAACATACTTGCCTGGTTTTGAAAGTTACATTTCTCCTGAAAAAAGGAGCAAAATAATTTTCAAAAAGGACATTGTCTAACACATTTATTGAAGAAAAAAGACAAAAAAGACCAGGCGGACCTTCATAACACTGTGTGCATAGGGTTTTAAGAGTTAAAGTTGTTTCGGAGACTCTCCACATGTCCAACTATAAACATTGTTGTTTCCCTTACAGTGAGATCAGGACAAAAGACCCTCAAAACAAATATCAGAGCAGTCTGGTGGAATCACAAACAGTCTTGAGTGGTCGCAATCACCTCTAGCTGTGTATATCATATGGTGGTAAAATGTCCTCACCAGGCCGCCCTAATCCCATCTGTCATCAGTCTTGTCAAATGTCTATCTGGATCTAAGTTCCTGCCTGGCTCTGGTCCTCCATTGTCCCCTCCATCAGCAGCAACCAGATGGTTTCTCTCCCGTATGAGTTCTCATGTGTACCTTTAGGTTTCCACTTTTGATAAAAGTTTTCCCACAGTGAGCAGATGAATGGTTTCTCTCCTGTGTGGATTCTCGTGTGTGTCTGTAAATTTCCTCTCTGTGCAAAAGATTTCTTGCAAACGGAGCAGCTGTAGGGTTTCTCTCCGGTGTGTGTTATGTGTCTCTTCAGTTATGCTTTTTGCAAAAAGCTTTGACCACAAACTGAGCACTTGAAAGGTCTCTCGTGTGTGGATTCTCATGTGTGTGTAAATTCCCTCTCTGTGCAAAAGACTTCTTACAGACTGAGCAACTGAATGGTTTCTCCCCTGTGTGACGTGCCATGTGGAAAGTCAGCTCTCGCTTTTGTATAAATCCTTTACCACAAACTAAGCAACTAAACGGTTTCACCCCAGTGTGACGGGCCATGTGGTCTGCCAGATGTACTTTTTGTATAAATCAAAGTGAGCAGCTGAATGGTCTCTCTCCTATGTGAATTATCATGCGTCTCTTTAGACATCTTCCTTTGCCAAATCTCTTCCCACACTCAGAGCAGCGAAATGGTTTCTCTCCAGCACTACATCTGGAACCACCGACAGAAAATTCATTATTCAGAGAGTTTAAACCTGACTGAGGTTCTCTGGTCTCCTTCCAGTCATCAGTTTCTTGTTTGTTACATTGTGAGGCTTTGTCACTGCTGGATAATTGGAAATGTCTATCTGGATCTGAGTTCCTGTCTGGTTCTGGTCCTCCACAGTCCTCTCCATCACCTTCTGTTTCCATCTGTTCAGTTTGTCTTTGATGAAGTGAGGACTGAGCTTCCTCTTCATCATCTTCACTCTTCACAGGAGTGAATGTGAACTTGATATCAGCCTCCTCCAGACCTTGAAGCTGCTCTCCCTCCTGACTGGTCCAGAGTTCCTCCTGTTCCTCTTTAATGTGTGGGGGCTCTGGGTCCTCCTGGTCCAGACTGGAGCTCCACTCCTGCTGCTCAGGGGGAACCTCTTCTTTAACCACCAACAGCTGCTGGACGTCTGCAGGACAGAATGAAGTACAGACATGTTACCGATCACCTGTCAGACTAAACTTCAACAGAAAATAATAAAAGAGTGAAAACAATCAGATGTAGTTCAAAAATAGAGAAGAAATTCAGCAAAAGAACCATTAATGATGGAATGTTTTCTCAATGAGTTCATCTGATTAACAACCGAAATGTAAACAACAGGCTGAGAGGGAGGAAAAGAAATCATTCAGCTGTTACTTTCACTTACTTACCAATTAGTCGTTCTCTCTTCCAAAGAAATCCAGCAACGTAACTATTCATGAAATGAAATCACACACTTTCGGATCCTCCTTAGCCCGGGGATATGCAGACACATTACCGGTTTATAAGAGAGGCATTGAACAATGCAGCGGGACGAGGGACAGAAGTACCAGAAGCTCCGTGGGGAGAGAGAGACATCATGTAGAGACGCCACAGTTTCAGATCTAACTCCACGAGTTAAGGGCTGAGAGTTAGTAATATGATGGATCTCAACCACATATCGGAGCACAAGGGTCCGGGGCAATTACAGAAGCAATGAAAATGAGGCACATAGCATCTGACGACATTTATGACAATACGAGATTGTGAACCGCTTACAGAAGTGGACAAGAAGCCTACAAGAAAGCTTCATTTAACAGACGTTAAATCAGGAGTCTGATTAAATATCAGGAGTGATTGTGACGCGCCAAACCCGCTCTGCAGAACATGTGGCGACAGGAAGATCAGCTGCTGGAGGTTGTAAATGACGGTGGGCTTAAAAGTATGTTTGAGACAACAACTCTGCTGGTGTTTAGGATTAAAATCAAGGCTGAATATCCTGAGATCACCACTAAAGCACTGAAACCCTGCTTCCATTTCACACATCCTCTCTGTGAAGCGAGATGTTCTGCAGTGACGGAAACCAAAACTAAACGGAGTAGACTGGACATCAGGAACAGACTTAGGGTGTCTTTGTCTCCCTTTACCCCCAGATGGGACCGTCTCGTTGCAGAGAAACAAGCTCAGGGCTCCACTGATTCAGCGTTATTGTGAGTTGTATTATTTATGCATTTTATATTTGTTTTCATGCCGATCGTATCATTTTATTTCGTCGTGTTTTTCCCCCACACCTTGAAGGCCGGTCCGTGAAAATATTGTCATTAAATCAACCAAAGAAGAAGTAAAGAGAACCAACCTGCTCTGTGTGACCGAAGCTGAGGCATGAAAACAGCGTCCAGTAGTCTCCGTTGTCGCTCGTTCTCCTCTTTTGAACGAGAGAGTTCCTCCTCGTACTCTGCTATCGTTCTTTCAAACACACCAAATATCTCTTCAGCAGCCGCAGTTAGTCGCTGGTTGACTAAACATCTCAGCATTTGGACTTTAGACATTTCCACACAACCACACAAACTGCGTCACAAACACCGTTTACTCTCATTAAACTCTGACTAGCGCTGTGTGGATCACTTCCGTCCCCGTCGGTCTGTTTCCAGCTAGCATGCTAAGCTAACTTCAATAGCTTTGTAGGCTACCGGGAGATGAGTCAGAGGAAACACGTTGAGAGAAAAGTCCATTCAGAAGGTTTATCCGGACACACAGAGACCAAGATGGAGCTCACACACACTCAGTGAACACAACACAGAGACTCTGCTAACAGACGTGTTTCTGATAGACGCCATCTTGGTCACAAACTGTGAAGTTAGCCTCAGTTTCCGGGGCACATCCGCTGCTGACTTTCAAAATAAAAGTGTTACTGAAATGACAGACTTCCTCATAAAAACACAGACAGGAAGTTAAATGATTGAATATACTTACATTCATTGAGCATTAATGTCAACACAAGATCCAAATAAGTTGCTGCTTCTGGAGCTTTCAACCACAAACTGGGCCTCTTCACGGAATCTTTTGCTTGGATGTCATTAAATTACCTGTTAAGATGTAATTCATGTTGTAGTCAACTCTGGTGTGATTTATTTTCTAGGAGTACAGAAAAAAAGATGCATTGTTCTTAAGTTACAGCAATATTATATTAACTTCTTCAAATATAAGTTACGCTTGAATACACTTCTTTTAGAGAACTATAACCTCTTAAACATGTCGGCCTGTGTTAAAAAAAAGAGTGATACAGAGTGTAGAGTTTTTGACAAAACATGGACTTTAAAGTATTTCTCTGCTGAGGTCAAAGGTAAAGCTGCGTGCTTAGTTTGTGGAGAACAGATCGGATTACAATTTGAATCGTCATCACGAGACAAAACACTCGGAGGAATACTAAAACGTGACGGATGCAGAGCGGCACGGACATCTGAGGCTTTATAAGCTGCTAAAGCAACATGCTCAGAAGATGTTGCTTCTCTTTGGATCGACCTCCACATGTGAACAAATGAAGTTTAACTAATCCAGATCAGATCCTCTCTCACTGACCATCAGCTTCACATCTCACCTCACACGTTCAGCCGGACTTCAGTTCATCGCTCACTGAACTGAAGAACAGGAAATGAGGTCATTGGACTACAAACAATAGTAATAACAGAACTAATTATCAGAAACATGATCCCTGTTAGTGTTGTACTATTACATATGTATCTTTGTTTGGATCATCCTTCCTGCTGCAGCTCATTTGAACTCCTTTATACTCTGTTTGTGTAGTTAGGAAGTGTTTGAAACATCATGTTTACAGTTTACCTCTGAGATGTAGTGGAAGTACAAAGTTGAATAAAATGGAAAATTGAATTTGTATTTAAGTACTTTTATTATTCCACCACTGATCATACATTCATACATTCACTCTCACAGCTCATCAGAACCAACAATGTGCTTCAGTCTAATGGTCCCCCCCCCGATCCAACTGATCCAGTGTGACGATGGTTAGAAACAAGAGATCCACAGGAAGTTCACCAGGAGGTCAAAGGTTAAGTTTATTGTCATCTGTGGATTGAATGAGCTCCACCGCGTCAACACAAATGTTACAGCGATGAATGAACGACAACATTTAGGAATTCTTTCATCACTTTTCAAAAATTTAAATTTCTATACAAATAGTAAACGTGATCGTTTGGGTTTAAACAGGAACTCAACCAGCAGCATCGGAAACTGACTGAAAAGTTTCGTTTGGGTTTTTTTATGCAAAAATGCGAAATATTGCTGCTTTATAAGATAATTTACAGCAAACGGAATGTTTTAGGTTTTTTTGGGACGACGAGACATTATGAATATTCAGATTCGTCTTTTATGTATAAAAAAATAAAATTCAAAAAAACTGGACAAACGGCCGAGTCACATCGCTTCTCTCCAGATTTCCCGCGTCGACTCTCCGGCACACTGGTGGTACTTCAGCTCCGTGTACCAAGCGAAGCCTTCGCCGCAGACGCTGCAGCTGTACTGTTTCTCCACCGTGTGGACGGCCATGTGCGACTGCATGCTGGCCTTGTGAGCGTATTTCTTACCGCAAACCAGGCACGGGAATGGTTTCTCTCTGGTGTGCGTTCTCATGTGGATCTCCAGATGGGACTTGTAGAGACATTTCAGACCACAGACGGAGCAGAAGAAGGCCTTCTCCCCCGTGTGGTACTTCATGTGGTTCTTCAGATTGTAATCGTGGTGGAATCTCTTTCCGCACTCGGTGCAGCTGTACGGTTTTGTGACGGTGAACCTCGTTTCGCTTTCGGGAACTTCGTTACTGTTTAGACCGGACCTCCTGTCGTCTTTCCAAAAATTGCTGTCGGGTTCAAGACACTCTTCTTTGTTGACGGAATGACATCCCATAATACTGTCAGAGATTTCATTATTCTTCAGAGAGTTTAATCCCGACTGAGGTTCTCTGGTCTCCTTCCAAAAATCACTATCGACACTATCATCAGTATCTGGTTCTGGATGTCTATCTGGATCTGAGTTCCTGTCTGGTTCTGGTCCTCTACAGTCCTCTCCATCAGCTTCTGTTTCCATCTGTTCAGTTTGTCTTTGATGAAGTGAGGACTGAGCTTCCTCTTCATCGTCTTCACTCTTCACAGGAGTGAATATGAACTTGATATCAGCCTCCTCCAGACCTTGAAGCTGTTCTCCCTCCTGACTGGTCCAGGGTTCCTCCTGTTCCTCTTTAATGTGTGGGGGCTCTGGGTCCGTGTGCCGGCTCAGTCTTCCTCCTTCTGTGGACTGTTCCCCTCCTGTAGGACTTCTTCTTCTGTGGTGGTTGGTAAATGTTTCATCGCTCTGAGAGACATCATCATGTTTCACAGAGTTTAAACCAGACAGACGTCCACAGCTCTCGTCCCAAAAATCACTGTCGGCACTGTCTTCAGTCTCAGGTTCAGAAGAGTCTCCAGTATCTGGTTCTGGATGTCTATGTGGATCTGAGTTCCTGTCTGGTTCTGGTCCTCCACAGTCCTCTCCATCACCTTCTGGAGGCTCCGCCTCTCTGTTCTTCTCAGTCCGACTCTGATGAAGCTGTGAGGACCGATGACCAACACACTGATGATATTTCAGCTGATAATGCCAACCGAATCTTTGCTCACAATATCTGCAGCTGTAGACTTTCTCCCTCGAGTGGACTTCCAGATGTTTCTCCAGATGTCGCCTCCAAGCAAATTCTTTCCCACAAACGGTGCAACTGAACTGCGTTTGCCTCGCGTGGATCCTCATGTGCTGAACCAAAGACTCGCTGTCACTGCATCCTGTGTTGCACACTGAGCAGCGGAACGGTTTTTCCCCCGAGTGACATGTCATGTGAGAACTTAAGCTCTCACGCTCGGCAAACGTTCTACCGCAAACTGAGCAGCCGAACGGTTTCAGTCCTGTGTGGAGTCTCACGGGAACCTGCAGCTGGTGCTTCAGGTTCAACCCTCCACCGCTCTGAGAGCCGCCGACAGACGTGTCGTCGTCGTCTTGGAGCCGCGAGGACTCGCCGACACACTCGTGACCGACGAGTTGGGACTCCAGAGCGAATCTCTCCTGACAAATGATGCAGCCAAGCGGTTTCTCTCCCGTGTGGACGGACGTGTGTCTTGACAGGTGTCCCGCCGTTGCAAATCCTTTTCCGCAAAATAAGCAGCTGAGCGGTTTCTCTCCTGTGGGGGGGTTGTTGTGTGTCAGCAGAGTGAGACTGTCTTCAGATCTTTCGTGACACTCAGACGAGCTGAAAGGTTTCATGTCAGTGTTACATCCTGGATCTCTGACAGAGACCTCCTCACTGTTCAGATGCTTCGGACCTGATTGAGGTCGATCACCTTCAACTCCGTTATCAGTCTTGAGTTCAGTTTCAGCCTCGTCTTCAGAGCAGCTGAAAGGTTTCTTGCTGCTATTAAATCCATCATTTGCAGAGACCTTTTTATTTCTCTGGTATGTGAACCCTGACTGATGTTTCCTGGTCTCTTTCCAAAACTCAACGTCAACACTGTCATCAGGTTCAGAGGACGGTTCATTCTTGACATCAGTTCCTGGTTCTAAATGTCCAACTGGATCTGAACTGGCTGGTTCTGATCCTTCAAAGTCCTCTTCATTAAAGCCACTTCCTCTGAACTGTGAGAACTCACCGAGACACTTGTGTTTTTTGATCTGAAAATGCCAGAAGAATCTCCTCCCACAGACGGTGCAGCTGAATGGCTTCACCCCCGAGTGGACCGCCATGTGCTGCGACATGATTCCCCTCTGAGAAAACCGTTTACCGCAAACGGAGCAGCTGAACGGTTTCTCTCCGGTGTGGGTTCTCATGTGTATCTCCAGGTGGGAACTAAACTGACGTTTCTGACCACACACGGAGCAGGTGAACAGTGTCTTTCCTTTGTGCATCCTCATGTGGGTCACCAGAAGGTAGTTGTTGGGAAACGTCATGTCACATTCTGAGCAGCTCAGCGGTTTGTTGCGTTCGTCCCCTCGGGCCCCGAGGAGCCGCGAGTACTCTCCGACACACTTGTGGACTTTGAGCTGCGACGTGGCCCTGAATCTTTTGTTACAAACACTGCAGCTGAACGGTTTTGCTCCTGTGTGCGTCGCCATGTGAGACGTGACCGCTCCTTTGTGGCGAAAGCTTTTACCGCAGAGTGAGCAACTGAACGGTTTCTCCCCCGTGTGGATTCTCAGGTGGTAGTCCAGACCAGCTTTCTGAGTGAACTTTTTACCGCACACGGAGCAGCCGAAGGGTTTCACTCCTGTGTGAGTTCTCATGTGTATATTCAGATTTCCTCTCTGTTTAAATGTTTTGGCGCACACGGAGCAGCGAAACGGTTTTCTTTCAGGATCCGTATAGTCTTCTTCAGGCTCAGATTCAGATGAGTCTGAAGTCTCACTTTCCTGTTCTGGGTGTCTATCTGGATCTGAGTTCCTGCCTGGTTCTGGTCCTCCACAGTCCTCTCCATCACCTTCTGTTTCCATCTGTTCAGTTTGTCTTTGATGAAGCTGTGAGGACTGAGCTTCCTCTTCATCGTCTTCAGTCTTCACAGGAGTGAATGAGAACTTGATACCAGCCTCCTCCAGACCTTGAAGCTGCTCTCCCTCCTGACTGGTCCAGAGTTCCTCCTGGTCCTCTTTAATGTGTGGGGGCTCTGGGTCCTCCTGTTCCTCTTTAATGTGTGGGGCCTCTGGGTCCTCCTGGTCCAGACTGGAGCTCCACTCCTGCTGCTCAGGGGGAACCTCTTCTTTAACCACCAACAGCTGCTGGACGTCTGCAGGAAACAGAACATACATTCCTTCAGGTTAAAACTCTACTACAGACTGAAATAATACATTTATAAACAATCATCAGCCTTCAAACCTGAAACTGGACATCCTTGTCTCCAGCTGTGGCTCGGGGGGCTCTTTGAGACTATCTTAGTTCTGGAGTGAAACGTCCTCTCTCTGTCTCTTTCTTTCTGCCTCTTTGTCTCTCTCTCTGTCTCTGCCTCTCATTGTAGAACTCTGGTCGTCTCAAACACAATAAAACCCTCACCCTGGACATGAACTGTTTGTGCCCCTCCCATCTGGCAGGAGGCTGAGGTCCATCAGGACCAAGACCTCACGCCACAAAAACAGCTTCTTTCCATCCGCAGTCGGGCGGACTGCTCCCCGGGCGCCTGCGTGGGCAGCCCACTGCTCCCTATATATACAGGGATGGGTCAAATGCAGAGAATGATTTCCCCACTGTGGGACTAATAAAGGAATGTTTCTTATTATTTTTACACTACTGTTATCCGTTCGTTTGTGCACTTTATTTTATTTTTCATTTATTTTATATCTCTCTGTAAATTGTAATATGTTTCTACTTGCACTGATTGTTGTTGATTGTTAAATGTTTGCACCTCCCGTCACGCCAAATTCCTTGTATGTTCAACATACCATGGCAATAAACGGTTCTGATTCTGACAAGTAAGTTTATCACAACATGTGACCAACAAGCAGAACAGAACATCTGTTTGTGGAGCAGCCGTCGGGTAACGGTAGTGATGTCATCACTGCAGGTAACGTTAGTGATGACATCACTGCAGGTAACGGTAGTGATGACATCACTGCAGGTAACGGTAGTGATGACATCACTGCAGGTAACGGTAGTGATGACATCACTGCAGGTAACGGTAGTGATGTCATACAGAGTTTGATCACAAGAACAGGATCATAAATAAGATCATTGTTGAGCTGAGAATGTTGTAGTTTTAACATTTTAGAACTCAAGAAAGAATGTTTGTTTACATACAAGAAGAGGACAGGAGGACAGACGAAAGGAAGACAGAGGAAAGGAGGACAGAGGAGAGGAAAGGAGGACAGAGGAAAGGAGGACAGAAGGCAGAGGACAGAGGACAGGACACTGACACTATCCGACGTCTGTGTTCTTCATTCTTTCTAAACTTCCCTCATAAATGTGATTTATTTTATTAACATGTTACGTTTTGTTTCCAGTGAATATTAATAACTTCATAAAGACACTTTAAAACTGTTGCTGCTACATTGAAAATATAAATACATTCTGATCCTGTTCTGAATGTATTTACAGTGCCCTCCAGAATCATTGGCACCCTTAGAGAATTTGAGCAAAACAGGCTGTGAAAAAAATTCTTTGCCGTTTATCCTCTTGGTCTTTCACTCAAAATATTCCCAAAAATCTTACCTTTTCATTGAAGTAAAATTATTGAAAGAAAAAAAAATGTTGACATTAAACAAATATTTTTCTCCAAAACATGTTTGCCACAATTATTGGCACCCCTAGAACATCTCATGATTAAAATCTAACTGAAGTATAATTCCAGTCATATTTTACATTTTTAATTTCACCTGTTTGATTAGGAACTCTTAAGTTGTCAACCATGACTTCCTGTTTCACTGGGGTATAAATATGAGGTGACACAGGCCAAATTCCCTTAGTCATTCATCACTATGGGAAAGACCCGAGAACACAGTGACGATGTGCGACGAAAAGTTGTTGAGCTGCACAAATCAGGAAAAGGATATAAGAAAATCTCTAAACAGTTGAAAATACCCATTTCCACTATCAGGGCAATAATTAAGAAGTTTAAAGCGACGGGAGATGTTAAGAATCAGCCTGGAAGAGGACGTGTGTGTACATTGACCCCACGCACCGTGAGGAGGATGGTTCGACTGGCAAAAGAATCTCCAAGGATCACAGCTGGAGAACTGCAGAGGTTAGTTGAGTCTTGGGGTCAGAAAGTCTCCAAAACTACCATCAGACACCACCTACATCACCACAAGGTGCCAGAAAAAAGCCTCTGCTGTCAATCAACAACAAACTAAAGCGCCTACGTTACTGGGACTTTCAATGGGACCGGGTTATATGGTCAGATGAGACCAAAATAGAGGTTTTTGGCAACAAACATCAACGGTGGGTTTGGCGTAGACAGAAAGATAGCCATACAGAGAAGCACCTCATACCCACTGTGAAGTATGGTGGCGGATCTTTGATGTTGTGGGGCTGTTTCTCTTCCAAAGGCCCTGGACATCTTGTTAGGATACATGGTATCATGGACTGCATCAAATACCAGCAGATATTAAATGAAAACCTAACAGCCTCTGCCAGGAAGCTTAAAATGGGCCGTGGTTGGACCCTCCAGCAGGACAATGATCCGAAGCACACCTCAAAATCTACACAAAGATGGTTCACCGACCACAGAATAAAGGTTTTGCCATGGCCATCACAGTCCCCCGACCTAAACCCCATAGAAGATCTGTGGGATGAGCTGAAGAGGAGAGTCCACAAGCTCGACCTCGGGATCTGAAGGATCTGGAGAGATTCTGCATGGAGGAATGGTCTCAGATCCAGTGCTATGTGTTCACCAACCTCATCACGCATTATAGGAGAAGACTCACAGCTGTTATCTTGGCAAAGGGAGGCTGCACAAAATATTAAATGAAGGGTGCCAATAATTGTGGCACATATATTTTTGAGAAAACGATTTGTTTCAGGATAAGAATTTAATGTTTCTTTCAATTATGTTACTTCAGTTAAAGGTTAGATTTTTGTGAATATTTTGAATGAAAGATCATGAGGATAAACAACAAAGACATTTTTTCACAGCCTGTTTTGATCATTTTTACTAAAGGGTGCCAATAATTCTGGAGGGCACTGTATATCTTTAAATAATACAATAAGATAAGAGTAGTAGTATTGATCGGTTTACACATTGGTCTCAATATACATACATAGAATGTATGTAAACAAATAAACAAGAAAAAAATATAAAAACAAGGACATTAAAGACAAAGTAGAATAGAGAAACTAAGCATTAACATTTAACATTGTTTACGTGCTAAGCTATGCTAAATGCTAGCAGAGTTGTGGTGAGGAAGGCTGAG